CCGCCCCCGCGTCGCGTCGCGTTGGGCTGGAGGAGCGCAACTAGGCCACCGCCGCGCCGACTCGTGTTATTTTTGGGCGTTGGCCGTTAGGTGCGCCGCCGTGGTCGCGGCTCTCTCGCCGCCGCTGCTGCACTCGGAGTGCGCTCGCTGCGCGGAGCCGCCCCGCCGTGCCTTTGGCTCGGCTTTCCCGCGCTGGGACCGCCCTGCGCCTAGCCGCCGCCGTTTCCGATCTCATTTTAGATTTCCCGCGCAGCCGTAGCGCACACCGGGGATGGGCGAATTAGTGTCCGGCGGGCCGGGTGATGGAGTGGGTCTGAGAGAGTGGGGGTGAGTGGGGTGGGAGTGCTGCGCTCCGCCGACTGTGCTCGGCGGGGCGGGGCGGGTGTCACCCGCTCTGCCCACATACGGCGCGGCGTGCTTTCATCCCGCTCTCCTCTTCATTGTCAAGACCACCGTCACCTGCTGCCTGACCGGTGGCCCGGCCCCTTGGCTGCAGCACGTCGCGGTAGTGGAAGAAAGTAGTAGTAGCTCGGCATGTGTGTCGAATGGTGTTGGTATGGCGAGTGAGCCGTCCGTCTGTCCGTCCGTTCGTCTCGAGTGGCCACTTTGACGACCTACTCGCCCGCCCCGACGCGGCAGACAGACCGCGCTGCCCATGTACGGCCCAGCTCCATCCATAGGTGCCCTGGCTGCGCCGGGCTGCGCCCTGGCCGCGCCTGCTCTCCCCACAACGCCCCGCGCCGCCTGCCACGCCCCACCGCTCAGCCTTCCCTTAGATGGAGGCCGCCGGCCGCGGCACTCATCAGGCGTCACGTGGACGATGATTTGAGCCGCTTTTTGGGAAACTAAAACGTGTGCCCCGGTTAGTCTGAGGATGGGTCGGGTCGTAATCGGCCGCCGTCGGTGATGCTGAGGGCAATAACATGGTGGTGCGGCGCTCTCGGAAAACAACTGTTATCAGTCCGTGAATTATGTTGCGAATAGTGTCACACTCTTTCAAATAGTGTAACTTGCGCGACAGCAGCACCTCGTGCAGCTGCTGCACCGTGCTGGTCGAAGCACTTCATTAAGGCGGTCTGCCTGCATCGCCGCGCCCCCGCTAGGCTGCAACGCGACGCGCGGCCCGACTAAGTGCCGCCTTTCGGTCGGTCTGCCCCTGCTGCCGACGTGCACACGCCGCCGCCGTTTCGGCTGTCGGCGCGACGGGATCGTCACGCTGACGTCGAGCCGCGCGCGGCGGCGCAGAGTGTGCGATACGCGAGCGCACACTCTGCGCGGCCCGAATAGGGAACACGGGGATTGCACCGTCGTTTGCTTTGCGTCAGCAGCGGCAAAACTCTTTTTGACACTGCCGTACTGGAACGGAAAAAATAAAGTTGTGCTCGGGATTGACCAACAAGACTGGTTGGAAAAACTTTCGTCGATGTGAAAAAGGATACTTGTAGGATTCTCACAACGTATTAACTAGATTTTTGACAGTGAAGCATTACTCCATGAGTTTTCTAAAATATCTTTATGTTCTCATCTTGATGACATTTGGCGAAAGAAAATAATCGGAAATAATCAACAATTGACACATTTTGTTTAAAAGGAAATTTTTGTGCACAAAAACGTGGCAATTCCCAAAGGCCAGCTAGAGTAATGCCCTCCGTCTTTTACATTTATTGTGCACAGTGCCGCACTTCGTGTTTAGCTCCCTCGTCGTCGGCTTTTGCCTTGGAACGCCAAAAGGGATGAGGCAATCGATACTGTGAGACGGCGTGGCGTGGCGGGGCGGGGCTCGCCGGGTCGGTCAGGCAGGGCTGGGCGGGGTCACGGTGGGAAGAGGACCCGTCCGCCTCGCCTACAGTGCAGTTGCGCCCCGCAGCTGATCTAACCCGGCCTCTCTGGAGGCGCCGTTCTGTGGTGCGCGGGTCGCGCAAGTGTAGCGCGGCCTCGCGAGGCGCGCCAGCCGCAGGCCGGGCCAGGCCGCGGACCTGTAACGGGCCGGGCAGCCAGGTGCGCCATGAGCCCACCTGGGCTCTGGGCGCGGTAAAGTCTTGGAGAGAGAGAGAGACAGACGAATGTAGAGAGGTGCGTCCGAATGGCACGTCTCGAATACCTCAGCCCAGGCCTGTACATGCACAACAGCAGAGGCAGATTCCACTTGTAGCCGCAGCGACACCTTTGAGAAACTCTGTTGTGTGCGGTGTGAGTGGGCTGCAACTGCGAAAGACAGCGGCGGCGCGCGCCAAGGGCAAAGAGAACCTCTTTTTCGCTCTCTCTTTCTGCCCCCCCCCTCTCTCTCTCTCTTTCGTGTGGTCGCGCGCTCCTTCTCTCTTTTACACACACCCTCACACCCTTCTCCCTTTCCGACAGGGCGCGCTATCGCCTTTAGCCTTGACATTCAACGGGAAATTTTGTGTGTGCTTTGCATCTTTTTAACTTTAGGCAAAGAAATATTGTGTTTTCCCTCCTCATGTATTTTCCCGCGTAGTCCATTCTGGTCTGGTCGACGAAGCAAGGTCAGGTTGGCCGATTATTGGTTTACGAGGTCCGGTGGGCGCGCTGGGCGGGAGAGTGAGGGAGAGAGAGAGTGAGTGAGTGAGAGAGAGAACCCGCTATTGGGAGGTCCGAACGTCACGGAAGACTAAGTTCAGAGGTGAGGCGTGCATTTTTAACCGTGTTTGTGTGCGCTGCCCGGGAGATTTCTGAATGCGGCTCATTAAGCCCTCCGCTTTTACAACAACAGCAGTCGCACCCTGCGGGTTTTCATTCCTTTTCACTGCGGTGCGCTAATACTTTCGTCACCTAAGTCTACACGATCGTGCCCTGCTCCGCCCTGCGCGGTGCACTACCGCGCCACTTTGCCTCTGTCTCACTCCATCACTCTTGCTCACCCACCCGACGCGCTCGCTCTTATGAAAGTTCCCGTGACCTTGCTCATGCACACCAGCCGGCTAAACTTTGCAACAGCGGCGCGGCGCAACGTTCAAGGCAGTGTCCTGGCCAGCGTAGGGTTTTGCGATATAGATCATTTTCTGTCCGGGGATCATCTAGAGAGTGTGCCTGTCCTTAGCCGTTAAGAACCTGCCAAGTTCAGCCTTTGCAAGCTGTCCTAGCGCCTGGTGGGTAGGCAACATCTTGCGTGGTGCATGCGTGTACCGCGGGGTGGTCTACCCTAAGCCTTGCAGGCGTCGTGCTTCCCGTATTTTGCCGAAGGAACCTTAAAAAATAGCAACGTCAGTTTGGTTCAAATTCACGATCCCCCGCCAGGCCACCATCCAGGCCGGCCGGCCGGCTCGTCCGACCTTTCCTCTTGACGGACGATCCCCGCTCACTCCTCACCCACACTACTCATCGTCCCGCGACGGGATCGGTTGAGAGAGAGAGAGAGAGAGAGAGGGAGAGTTCGTCCGGGATGAGTTTCACCGCCCCGTCGTGGTGGCCCCTGTCGGGAGACAAGCCTTGCGGTCCTGGACAGAGTCGTCTGGCAGAGAGGAGGATGTTGTTGTATGTACCAGACGGTATATGTTGTACTTGGGCATTTTTCACACATTTACAAGGGTGTGACGTTCACACACTTGCGTTTCCAGCGAGTCTTGATATCCTGGACGAGGTCGGGGGCCGCCGGGCCGCCGCTGGCCGCTGTCTCTCTTACAAACGGTGTCGCGGTGACGGACATTTTCTCTAGTCCGCTGCCCACACGCCCGCCTGTCCGCCTGTCCTCCTGTCCGCCTGTCCGTCCGCCTCGTCCGGGGCCGGGGAGGGCGGCAGCGGGTAAGGTAAGGAGTAGCCTTTCATCCTTGACTGTAACCGCACGGTAGCGCAGTGTTGCCGGCCCATCGTACCCGTCTCACCCTTTTCATTCCAATTTTCCGCGTTATGATTATGGTTGCTATAAAAGATGATGTGGTATGCGCAGTGTTGCCAGTGCAGCAACAACAACACGTACTCGTGACGTGTGATGTGGTGCTGCCGCTCGAGTGTCTCCGGCCCACAACCATACACGCGTTGCGCTGGTCTCGCCGTGCTAATCACACTCGCTCGCTCCGGGGCCGAGTGGTGGACAGCGCCGGACAGCAGCGGGCGCGTTATCACGCGGAAGTCCGCTCGCCCGCCTGTCCTGATTCTGTCCGCTGCCCATGGCCTCGGGCTGCCGCGCCACCGCCACACGGCAGCCCGGAGGCCCGGGGGTAGGCAACCCGGTGCGCTGCGGTGCGCCGCTCGGGCGCTGGCTGCCTACCCGCCGGGCGTCCAGCAGTACGAGACACCGATTGGTGATGCTTCTCCATGTCTCGGTCTTGTTGAGAGGGAAATCGTTTGCGAAATAAATTCTGCCTTGTTTGCGACCGAATACACATGAACACACCGGGGAGTGCGCTATTGAATCACTACTCTGACTACCACTTCTCTAAGCGAAAGTGAAACTCAACAGGGTCTTCTTCCTTGACTTTTAGCCAAGTTTGCATGATAACACCCGGAGTATGCTATTAAACCACTACTCTGTCCGGGGGGGGGGTTAACTCGAAAAAATCGTGCTTACAAAACTACCAGAAATACAAAGAAAATACAAAAAAAATACTTCACAGCGTAATTAAATACACAGAAATACATTCAGATACACGTAAAAAATACAAAAAAATACAAGAAATACATGCAAAGCGGCGTAAACAGAAATACACGAGTTGCCCCCCCCCCCCTTGACTCTGACTACCACTTCTCTGTTATAAGTAAACTCCAACACTCAACAGGGTCTTTTTTTTTGTCTTTTTTTAACGATTTCACATGATGACGCGGGGAGTGCTCTATTGAACCACTACTCTGATCACAAATTCTCCAAGCTAAAGTGAAACTTAACAGCGTCTTCTTTCCTCACCGATTAGAATGGCGCCCTCCCAGTCATACCATCATGACGTTGCCAGACCGTTCTCTCATAACACGGCACAGGCTTGCCGGTCGTATAATAATGCCATTGCTTGTCTCATTCCTAATCGTCATGTCGTTTTTCTGTCTTGCAGGAGTGACGATGCGGGAGAAGAAGGGCGGGGCGCTCAGCCGCGTGCAGAAGCTCAAGAAGCGCCTGAGTCACAGCTTCGGCAGATTATGTAAGTATTTGGGTCGGCGCAGGAGGGCAGGGCGGGCTGCGCAAAGAGCTCTCTGCTATCGCGCCGGCGAGAGCGTTCGGATTACGGAAAGCACCGAGCTGAATGGGCCCCGCAGGTGTGTGTGTGTGTGTGTGTGTGTGTATGTGTCACTGCCTATCGCAAAGGTATGGTGGTGGTAGTGGTGGTGCAACGGCGCGGCCTTTCGAAACAAATAAAACAGCAGCGCAGCGCTATCTCGGCTCCAGTCGTCCGTTCATTATTGGGAGCAGCCAAAGCTTTACCTTTGAGCATACCCAGTGGTCAACGAGGAAAAATAAATAAATGAAAAACACTTAAAAATGTATTAACAAGAGAGCTTTTGTTACCAGAACATTACGCTGGTGCGGCGGAGCTCATGTTTTCATTTGAGCTATGATACGACAGGCTAGTGCTAAAACTTGCGGAAATTCGTGGCAACTTTGGGGGAGGTGGAGATATCTGATAGCCGAACTTGTGAGAGTGTAGCGATAGTAGAGCTATGGAGCAGCCCGTTGCAGTGCGCCAAAGTCAAATTGCGTTATAAGGGCTTTATGATAAGCTTAGAGTGCCCCAAGCCGGGCCGTCGCGCGTGGGAGTTCCAAACGGAGTCAAAGTCAGCCCGAGCCCGGGCGCCTAGAGCGAACAGAAATAATTAGATCCGCACTCCTTCGCGCCGTGTCGACCAGAGTGCCCCCCCCCCCATCCTCCTTTCCCGTCTCTCTCTTCCCGGCCACTTCGCTAATTCCGTTCGGTTTGATCTGATGGATTTTCCCATCCACCCCGTGAACAGGAAAGTCGTGCATCATTGCCGCTGCGATTGGCCCCGACAGTTGTGTTTGTTCTGCTGGAGGAGGCGAGTCGGGCAGAGCTCTGCAGAGCTGTCCAGCGCGCCGCGCGGGGGAATAGAGGGTGCTCCCTCTAGGCTTCTCCAGGGCTCTGCTCCAGGCGTCTCTCTCCAGGCTCCAGGGGGGTGGGGGGGGGGGCTGTTAAACCACAATCATCAAGTTGGCCGCACGTGCGCTAGTGCCGCTGCTGCAACAGCAAGCTGTGTTGTGCCGCCGTTTAGCAGTGGGTTAGACTTGCTTTGGAAACAAAAGTTGGCAGCGGCAGCCCAGGGTCCGGCCCAGGGGGTGGTGGCCTTGCTCCAGCGCAGCGCCAGTGCGGCTCCAGCGCGGCTCTAGAGATTTCCGCCGGAGAAAAATCGCCGCTCTTATTGCTGGTCGTTCCTCCAGTTCCGGGTCCGGCGGCGAGGCGCGAAGTGGCTCCGTGCGTTATCCTCTCTGCTCGCGCGCTATTTTCGCGCATTCGGACTTTTTATTTTATTTTTGTGATGTTATTTCTTTTGTTTTTGTGTTTTCCACCCCTTTCCTTTATTTTCCCGGGCGCGCCGCCGTCTCGTCGAAAGTTTGCTCGCCAACGCCAACGCCCCGTATACCCCTTTTGCTCTAGCGTCTCGCACAATCCCCTGCTCCTCCACCGTCCCACTTATCCCACGTGAAGCTTCCACTACGCTGGAATTTTTTAAGAACAAAACAACTGCAAACAAAACTCATTTTTTTAAATGTATTTTTTGCTGTGTACACTACGTGACGTGCCGTGTTTGATGGGGGGCAGCCACCTCTTTGCTGTTTCATTCGCCATTCAAATATCACCTCACAATATGACGTGCGATGTGATGCAATGCTTGACAGACAGGCGTGCGGGCCCACGCACATGCCCCTCCGCTGCCTCTCTCTTCCTCTCTCATAGAAGTGTGTCAGTGAGGCTGTAACCCCTCCCCCCTCTTGGGTGGGTAGGGCGATGGGGGTGATGGGGCCAAGATAACCCTGCAGGAGGGTAGGGATTAGAGCAGCTCTGAAGCGCCTTTGGAGAGAGAGAGAGATGGGCGTGTTTGGCCAGCCTAATTCGGGTATCACTGCAGTGTTTGTACGACACGCCTGGCCTGTGTGTGTACGTCAGCCTGTAGGCATGAGTTGTACCCTACGCGGTTCTTGTTCATTGTTCAAGTTTGTCCCAACTTTTGTTCCTAACTCCGGAGCCTTTCTGCCGCGCCCGGCCGCCGAGCCTCGTCTCAGCCACTACTGTCTACTTACCTCCCCATCCCCAAACCACCCCCACCTTCATCCGGACCTTTTGTCTGGAAACACCCCCGCTCCCCCTTTTCCCCTGCTCCCCCCTCATCCGGCTTACAATTAGACCATGGGGTGGTTTGTTGGTAGTGCAAGGGGCTCGCTAGTGTGAGGGGAAAATGGAGGGAGGGGAGGGCGGGTCCCAAGCCAGCGATAGCCATCCTTCACACGGGGCCATGGGTCGCGGCCCTTCGCATAGCCATCAGCGGAATACCTCTGCTGGGATGCGACCCAGTGCCGTGTTTGTGTGTGTGTGTTTGTGTGAGTATGAGTGCGTAAAGGGGCCGGGGG